TCTTCTCCAGGCCGAGAAATGCATTTCATTTCAGAAAAGTATCTTCATGCAAATCAACTATTAAACAGATTTGTAAATTTACGTTCACAAAAACAGCGAACAGCCACAGGAAGCACGTGTCTTTGGAGATTTTTATTTTGCGCCAGCAGGAGAATAGTTTTTTAAGTGGTCCAAGAAAAATTTCCAAGTTATTTTGGCGTTGTTTCCACATGCGAGTTGTGAACTCTACCACGGGCTTTAAAACATTTTGGATACATGGAGAAAAGGAAGTTTTATATAGCAAAACCAAAGAAGTGTATGTACATCCGTGTTTGCTGACATCCAGGCAGTATAGAGATAAATTACAAAAATGAATTGGTTTATGCAAATTTAATAACATGCCATTTTTGTGAGCACAGATGGTTAGTGCAACACATTGTGGTTAATGTAAAGATTCGTGTTTGTTAAACGTATTCAGCACTAGTGGACACTAAAGTCTTGTTTCTGCAAGTGATGGTGTAGAAATACTTAGACATAAAACCCAAGCATTTTATTTACCAGATATAAAGAAAGGAGGAAGGTACAATTGCGAGGTGCTGGTGATGACCGTTTCAATAAAAGTCCAAGAGTTACAGACATTTTGGGGACTCCAATATACTGGCTGTCTCGCTTTTTCCCCATGTCCTTTCAACAAGTTTTCTGCTCAGTGCCCTTTTCTGTCAATAGAAAATATGCTTTCTTTTTCTTTTCTTGTGCCTCTAAACTCATATACACTGTAGAGAGAAGCAAGGCTGACCATTGTGAAAACGCTTGAAGAGTTTGACTTTGGCCATGCCGAAAAGTGTGTTAGGATAAACTCCGTGTCCAGCGGTCTTGCAGAAGAAGATCTAGAGGTGCTTTTGCAGTCAAATACCCTTCCGTCAAGCATGATGCTGCCAAAGGTTGAAAATGTTGAAGAAATAAGATGGGTGAGTACCAACAACACAGTAGCTTTTGACTGAAGCTGTTGGGCCAAGTTCACACAGCATAGAGATGAATGGCTCTAAGTTATGAGGAAGGCTGCAAATACCATACAATGTTGTTCCCTGGCTAAGATCATTGGGAAATGCATCCATTTAAATGTGTGTGAGATGTGCTGTATAAAAGGCATACGTGGAACACCTTGCATTTATAAAGAAAACCAGGTTTATTTCTCCCATGGTCAATGAAGAACCAATATTGATGTCAGATTATGTTATCAAAAATAGAAGCACAAGTATCTGACTCTTCTCTAACTATCCTAACAAGCAAAATGACTGTCTCTGTCCGTGAGCCTTAGTTAACACGCATTGTAAGCAGGAGATGGGGAAACCATATTAGCGACATATGAAAAAATGGGTTGGGGGGAAGGTCACTCCTTGGGGCAACTGGAGGAACAAACAGGAAGCTTTTAACTAGTGTTTTTAATTAGCACAGATATTATTTCCTGAACAGTTCTCTATTTCTTCCTTTTTAATTGCTGACAGGTGTGTTTGTGTTTCACGACTGACTTTTCAGCCAATAAAAACATGAAATGTAAATGTTGGCGTGTCAAATTACTTAAGAAAACTTTGAAATAGGCCTAATTATGCTATAATTGTTTAAATTGTCAAGAAAGGGGGACGTTTGTTTAGATATACCATTATTGCTATAACATGCCAGTAAAGGAATAATGCTGAAGTATTCGCTTCTGTATTTTTGCAAACCACTAGCCAAGCAACTAGCATGCGTGCAAGCTGTGATGAAAGGCAGGCAGATGTATTAGGATCTATTTTAATCTCAGCGTCTAACCTTGATCAAACCATTGAGATCAAGCATGAGCATACAACTGAGCAAATACACTGCGTACGTGACGAACCTCGTCCATTCTGTGGCACTGCCCCTTCGGCCTCCGCCACTCACAATGGAAAGTACACCGTCCCCTTCCACGAAAATTTAATTAAATTAACCAGAGTATACCTCTCAGGGTTTACAGCCGTGTAAGTACTAGATGTTACTTGTCAGTAATGAATATTCATGCTTCCAAAATGGCAGGGCCCTTGCTGCCACCACGCAGGTTTTGCGAGGAGGTGGGAAGCAGGAGTTCTTTGTCCCCTCATCCCCTTCCACCTTCCCTCTCACTAACTTTGATTTCCGTCATGGAAAACAAGCCAGCCCCGACAACTTCTGCTTCATGGTCTGCCTTTTGCTTCCTTCTCACTTTGCCCAGCCTTTGCACACAAAGAGTGCACTCTGCTTAACGCCACTGCCTTCTTTTCCCAGTCCTCCCAAAATTCACTCTGGCATGATTTTTCAGCCTCCCAGAAGCTGTTTATTTCCCCCTCACATACCGCCCCCCCCCCTTCATTTTTATTTATGCGCAGCAGAAAACCTGGAGGCTGATGCACAACTAAAAGATGGGCTTACTTGTTTTCTTTTGTGTGAGAATCTCTTGCTTTCCTTTTGTCCCTAGTGTGGGTACTTGTTTGACTGGCATGGCTTATTGGACTATAACAAGCGTAACTCTCCCTTCTTTGTGGCGGGACAATTCTCCCACAAATCCCGACCAGTGTGCATTCTTCCCGACACACTATTGGGTGTGCACTGGAATTGAAAGAATTGCTGAGGCCTTGCTACTTCATCCCCTCCCCAAGCTTTGTGGGTTTTTTTTTCCTCCGCCTTCTTTTTTTTTTTTCCCCCTTTCTGCCTGAAATGAACACTTTACCAGGCCGGAAACATTTAATCGTCTCCTTTTGAAAAAAAAAAAAAAAAATTAATTGAAACTTCTCCACTTGTTACCTTTTGTATTGGTGCTTATTGCAATTTTTTTAAAGGAGAGAGGAAGGAAGATAATATTTAATTAAATGTGGGGGTTTTTTTTCATTTACCTTCCAAACAAGAGATAGCAGAAATCCCAGGAGTGTGACTTAAAATATTTTAAAATAAAAGAAGAGCTCTGCTGCTTTAACTTGCACCTGAAATATAACGACACTAGCGCTTTTTACTTTTTTTTTCACTTAAAAAATAAAAATCAGATAGGAGTCTTAAGAATATATACTGATGCCATTGTTACCTCATTTTCTGCATTTGCCTGGATGAAGTTTACTGTTTTCTGTCACTATAGTACCTGCCATACTGTACACTCACACATGTGAATTGCATTGATTTTTTTTTTTTCTCCTTACACATTTTTGGGTGGAATTCTCTTCTCCAAAAAAAAGTTACCAAGAGGGACACAGTGATGATGCAAAGTAGGGATGGGAAGGGCAGAATTCTTCATCGAAGAAAGCTGTGATTTATTTTGGCCTAATTGTAAAGTTACTGCAAATTGCTGGAAAGCTTTTTTTCAAGATCTGGGTGATTAGATTTTCCTTCTTTTGGGGAGGGGCAGTGGGGGGAAGCTAAAAGGGGAAATAACACCTCTAATCCAGCTTCTGGTAAATAGGCTGCCAGCTTTTAAAATGAGTTTCCTTTCTATTAGTCAGAATATTATGCTAAGCCTTAAGCATTAGTTTTTTATGTTGCCATAGCAGCCTTATTCCTGCAGGGTTGTGACCTGCGATGATTACAGTACAAAGCTTATAGGGTCTTGAAACCCCCTTTGAAGATGAAAAGTCTTTGATGGTTTATATTTATGCAAATCTCTTAGATATGATTTACCCAACTGAGACTGAATGGAGAGATGATTAAAATTCCCTTTCCTTTGATATCCATTAATAGTCGAATATTCCTTAAATTTAAAATATATGCATATGTTATTTTTGTCTTTATTTACTAACATATTTTCACCATACCTGCTATATGTTTATCTCTGCGCAAATTACTCGATCTGGACAGACATAATAGATTTACAATATAGGGCTAAGGGTTTTTTCCCCCCTTTTTTTTTTTCCCTCTTGAAAGGGGAAAAATCTGTGCAAGAGCTTTTGTATGTTTCCAGATGATAGATTTTGGAATTTGGGCTACCCCACTGGCAGCTCAGAGCTAGCTGTGAACTGGTCTCATGGAAAAAATTGGCAAGCTTTGGTCTTCAAAGAATTAAACTTCCTTTTTAAGGCCTTCCTAGGTAAGCTAAAAAATTATGAAGAAAAGCCTATTGAACAAAAGGGTAACGGTGCCGTAATGAATAATACGGATGCCACTTAGAAGGCTGGGGAGCACTTCCAGTGATGGCAGTGCTGGACCTGAAACAAAACCGGACCTCAGGTACAGCAGCACTTCATTGTTTTCCAGGGCCCACGGATTTGCATTTCACTAAGCCAGGGTGAGAGGTGCTAAGCCTGGATTTTTTTTTTTTTGCAAACCAGCCTCCAAACTTAGAAATGTATGGGAATGCTGCGGGTTCGAATCACAGGCCTTGTTAAAAGCTGGTTTAATTCTTGTAATTATAAGGTTTTTGGGGTGGGGAGGGGTGTTGTTACAGCCAGGTGAAAATTTAACGTTATATATACATGTAGACTGTTCTCTTTTTTTTCTCTCTCTGATAGCTCATACTGTCTAGTTTTAGTTTTCAGACAAATTCTTACATCACCTAAAAGGACGAACACTTGTAGAACCAATGAATTTTATCCCTTTTGTGGAAACTGCAGTGGGCTTGCTCAATTTTAAGGTAAGCAGGTCTTGAAGTGTTCGTATTTTGCCATCTCAGCGAACTAGGATAAGCAGAATATTCCCCAGTCTCCCCCTAATTTCATCAAGGAAGAGAGATTAAAAAAATACTAAACGTATTGTTCAATCCTCTAAAACATTTGTACATTGAACTCTCGTGCTTGATTTGTAAAGGCCTTCATAAATTCAAAATATTTCAGTGACAGAACAGTTCCAGATATTCCATGCCAAATAACAAAATCTCTGCATTAGTGTTACCATTTTTAACACACTTAGAGTGGAAACAGGCTTGTCCAAAGATTTGGAATACTCACGGTGTTGCAATACACTTGGCTACTTAGTAGCTATCAAACTCGACTTTTGTATAACATTTAATTAGAAAAAAAGTATTAATCATCATTTCACTATTGCTAAACTGGCATCTTTATAATGGTTTCTACTGATAACATTACAACCAAATTTCATGTTACCGGTTTTTGTGTGTATGATGGGGTCTTTAATGCTAAGATTAGAAGTATAATTACCTTTGAAAATAGGAAATATCTGAAGGATGTGCTCCTTTTTTAGAGTAATTTTAGATCAGATCTTATTTTTAAAGTGTATTTTAATATAAATTACTCCCCAGCCTTTACTATCAAGTCCAGGTTTTTCAGAAAGGCAAGGCAGCATGATAATGAAACAGAAGATCCCGTGCATGCACCAGGAGTGCAGCATTCCCGTCGCAAGCTCTAAGGGAAAAGTTTCAGACCAGCTGAGGACACACGCATCAGAAGTACCTCCAGAAGTACCGGCAGGCCTCACAGGCAGCCTGCTCATTTGATATAGCCATTTATCTTACAACATACGCTAACGTTATCTGGGAACACAATAAAGCAGTAACCAAATAGACACACACCTGTCCAGTGTGCATACACAGAATTAAATCATGTTTTAAACCAGCTGAGATTTTTCATCACCTACAGTCTTTATAGTGGAATTTTTAATACCGCAGTTCCTGATGTTGGCAGGAGAGTTGCCTTTTAAAGCACTCTGTAAAAGAATCATTTCTTGTCCCACCAGCTGCCATAGAACACCCATTAGTAGAGCTGATAATTACATCAGTCTCCACGTACCTTAGCTTAAAAATATTAATATTATCCAAACACGAATATAAAATAGTAACATTTTGGAAATGCACTTCTTCATAGAATAGCTACAGCAACAAAATTTTTCTTGCTTTTAATACTTTTCTGCAGCACTTGTTGCATTTTTAACTTCCTTCACTAGTTTTTCATTATATGTAGCAGAAGGCTTTAAATTGGCAATCTTATAGGGAATCCTTATATCCTATAGGGAATCTACAACTGTTTTAAACCATTCATATTATTTATTTAATAAGAGATTCTGATCTATATTTCTGTTTCGCATGCAGATATATTCCATGTCAAACCAATTAAATGTAATACTTTTTGTTTGCTTTTAAGCAGTATTTGACAAATGTTTTGTTTCATATTGTTACATAAAGATCTGAAGTGGTGATCACAGTAATACCCAATGCATTATGTCAACCAGAAGGCAGGGAATCTGCTACAATGTCCTGTATTTATACAGTCTAGGCATAGAGGTGCTTAGGGAAAGGTTCTCTTATGCTGAGTCATTTTAAAGCACTGCCTAATAGGAGCAATTTTAGCTGAATGATTTTGATAACACTGAGTTGCTGTAATATCCTCTGTAGTCTCTCTGCATCCTGCATTTCTGTAGAAATTAATACTTTCTTCTCACTTGAAGGCTGTCTGTGAAGAAGCACTGAGAACAGGATCCCAGGCTGGCTTTCATTTGGACGCAGTCGTCTTTGGAGGAGAGGATTTCCGTGCCAGCATAGGTTGTTACCTGTGTGTTTACTATAAGTGTTAACGTATAGCATTTTGCATTGGAGAAGCCCTATGTTATTTATGACCACTGCTTTTCTGACAGCAATAATTAAAAGTAATGACAAAGCTTGATTCTGCATTTTACGTTTTCACTTTTCTCCTTAATTTTTTCCAACACAGAATGTATCACTGGCAAATTAAAATGTGGTCCCTGTGTGTTACAGGGCACTGACACTTTCTTGTGCTTCTTGCCATGCAGTATCAAAAATTAATGAAAAAATACCCAAAACCTGTTGAGTCACTGGAATTATTTAAAAATATGATAACCATAAGAAACATGCACGTGCTTTTAAGAACTACATTTAAAGCCCTAAAATTCTGGAGTCTGCTTCATCACTGTTTTACAGATAATTATCAGTTAGGTTTTTGACATCATGCACAAATACTCTCCCGCTACATTTTGCCTTCATAAATTTACTTCAAATGTCCCGTGTCAATACAGACACGTATTCATGTGAAAGCACTATTAGACTTCCTCAAAAATAAAAAGTATTTCACAATTTCTCTTATGAGAGGCTGCTTAGGTTCTTATTAATCTGTTTCAATTTAAAGATAAAAGTGCAGAGCTATCAACATTTAAATTAAAAATAAGTACGTTGATGTAAAAATTATCATTGCTTTACTAAAATATTATGACAAACTGGAAATCTGTGTCTAAATAGTGGCCTTAGGGAAAGGGAACATCATCATTATTATTATTATTATTATTATTATTATTTCACACCAGCCTTCACGTGAGCACGTTGCTTAGCTGGTGCCTTGTGAACACACGAAGTCTTGTGAATACTTTTGCTTCTTCTCAGAAGTCATCTAACACCATTTTTTCATCCAAATACTAAAGCTTAAATATTCAGCTGAGGACTTCGGTTGTGACGAGAATCGGAACCAAGGAAAGTGCAATTCTATTCTCAGTGTGAATTTTTTAACCATTTAGTTGTACCCAGTATATCAATTTGTGTAAAGTTTCTCTTGCTGTAATGCTTCTCACTGTATATACAGTAAATAATATAATCAAATAATTGCTTCGTGTTAGTCCCAAGTCAGCAGTCCTTACCAGCCAAAGCTACCACTGACTTCAGGCTTACTGCTTCTGATTTGAACTAAATCAAAATCTGAATTTTTTAAGCTAGTGTTTAAAGAGAGATTTTATTTTTTTTTTGGCTAAGCAGCTTTTTTTTCCTCAGAAGAGTACCGTTTTTACAATATAGCCTTGCACCCCTCTTTTTTTTTCTAAATTAGTTAAATGAAATCTCAAACTTTCCTTTTTTTAACATAGGAAATATTTAAAATGGAAAGGTTTAAAACGTTCTTGTCAGCTTTTCTTTGTTTACGTTGTTTTTGTAGGTGCAACAAGCAGTAAGGAAACTCAGGATATTCTATATGCCAGACAAAAAATAATAGTCACAGCAAAGGCATTTGGCCTTCAAGCAATAGACCTTGTTTACATCGATTTCCGAGACGAAGATGGGCTTCGCAGGCAATCAAGAGAAGGTGCCTCAATGGGATTCACTGGTACGGCTTTCTGCTGATGGCTCAAAATAACATATAGCTTCTTCAATTTAGACATAGTGCTACATTTACTGTCACTTAGACAAATAACTTGGGTTTTATTTCAGCGCATTTATTGAAAAACTCAGTAACACCAAGCTTTTTTATGTTTATTAGCACCTTTAAAATTGGGGCTGAAAAGTCACAGGCTGCTTTTTAAAACCACATCCCATGAAGCGTGTGACTGTTTTTTGAAGAGAAGTTGGGGCAGAGGCTGTGCAGTGATTTCTCCCAACACAGAGCGCAGCAAAAACAATGCTGTACTCTGCGATGACCACTCCACAATTGCTTCTTAAAATATGTAGTTCCCTTTCTCCTATTATTTTTAAATGGCAGGTGTTAAAAAATACTTCTGAGGTGAAGGAGTTGAGAAGCAAATATCTTATGCTAATTGCTAGGGGAAAGTTATTTTCTTATTATTTTCTTTGATTTGTTTTTCATCTCCTGGCTCTTCTCCCAGTAAGTGCTGGTGACACCTACGGGTATTGGCAGACAGCAAGAGCAGCAGGCTCCTTGCCCCAGAGTCCTGTAATGCAGCCTGTTACCCTGTGATTGGTGTACCAGCTCACTCGGACACCCTGGTGGGACAGCGCAACCACCAAAGATTGGGGTTTTGCAATAGAAATCAGCCATTTGACACATGCGTTAGAGAATTCTAGCATATCGGACGAATATTTTACATTATTTGACCTTCATTCAGGATATACGTACAGTAGTAGTACATCTCTTAGGTTTGTGTTACCAAAGGCATGGGTCCTGGTGATGCCATCTAGCAAACTGCATCTTTACAGTTAGCAGTATGATATCTTGAAGCACCAAGCAAAAACCCAAGCATTCATTTAAGTGATCTCGACATGCCAGTGAAAGAATAGCAATCAATGCTCTTCAGCATAAACTCTGCCTTACTGTCTGTCAAGCTTCAACATTTGCAAAACCCGATCTTGTTTCAGAAGCAAAGTGGCTAGCTCCTCACAGCTATGTTATCCACATCCATGTGGACTTGCACCCTTCATTTGTCTGTGATTGAAGTTGGGAAAACAATAGAGCTCCTGAATGGTTACACATGCTGATGGCTTCCTAATCTCAACCAATATTTCCTAGCTTAAGGAAGGGCTGGATTTTTGAAAAAATGAAGCATCTGAACCTCCTGTTGACAGAAGATGGAGCTGCAGATGCCTGCCACCTTTGGGAGCACTCTTTTTGAATGCTTAATTTATATCTAAATACTTAACTGCCAATTTAGGGAATTTAGAAAGGCTCAGCATAAACGTTGATGGTGGTTTGGACTCCACTGGTAGAAGTTGTCTGACATCAGGATAAGGTCCAGATAGGAAACATAAAAAAGGTAATATGCAGCAATTTAGTGAACTTCTAACTTGGCCATAGAGGTGTCTTGCCTTTTGTTACGAGGAGTAAAGATCTGTAAAAGACACGGGCTTGATTAAGGTGAACTCACAGCTTCTGCTCTTTGCCTCCTGCCTTTCCACAACTATCATCAACACATTTCCAAAATCCAGCAAACAGCCTGACAGCCAGTCCAACCATAATTAGAGACAGGGCAATACTGACTTTTCTGATGTGGTGGCCCCCACCCAAAAAAAAACAAACCAAAACAAAACAAAAAAACCCAAAAGTTTTTTAAAAAAATCTGCTTAAGTCAAAACAAAACAATGTTTTTCATATTTTCAGTAAAAAAGAAAAAATATTTGAGGTCAATACAAAATGTTTCACTTGTTAATGTTTCACTTGTTCTTTTGTTTCTTTTGCTTTCAGTTTATCTAATGTTTTTATAATCTTTCTTGCTTCTTTTGATTAAAATAACATTTTTATTTCAAAACTGAAAGCAAAAACATTTTGTTCCAAAACTATATAAATGAAACATTTTAACATTTTCAATTTAATATTTGTCACGGAAAATTACAAATGGGTTTTAGCTTAGTCCATGACCTTATATAAAGCAGAAGTTTGCAGATCATATTTGCCACTGACAGTCCTCTGATAACGTGAGAGTAAACTACTGAAGTGTCACCTTATTAACAAGTTCAAAACATGCAAAGCTTGTTATTTTTAAATATTTAAGATCCCTTCTTGCTACTTTTTCACAAAGAATCAAAATCATTGAAATCAACAGGACTAAAACAAGCTGAGGCTTCCAAATTTCTCTCTTAGCTGGAGAACACACACTTATTTGCGTGCATGGGGCCAAAGTCACCACCCTCAAAACTAATGCAAATCCAAAATATTCAGCAAAGTTGTATGTCCTTAGATTTTCCCACATGCAGATTTAGACAGGTAGAATTGGCCTTAATGTAATCAAATATGTTCACTCAAGATTAAACAAGCGAAATAATGTAACAAAGAATTTACCAGCTATTTAGTCACTATTGTGACCCTCATTGCTTATTGTAGCCGGTTTCTTTTCTAGTTGTCTTAAAAGCAACCTGTTTTTCCTTCAGCGAGTGCATTTACATAAAATCAAATGTTTTCAAATGTAATTTAGCCAAATTAATAGATCTTTTATACATCTCTTTTTTTTGTTGTTTTTTTGTTTATCTTTATATTGGGGGGGTATACAAATATCTATATACACACACACACACACACCCCTGGCAAGATGTTCTACAATACCAGAACCTGTGGACTTGAAGTCAGTGTCTTGCCTATAGAAATGGTCATCAGTTTTAGCAGTGTTTGTGTAAAAAATTGCCATAAGCTTCAACAGCTGACTTAGTCGTTATAGAAAGTCCTATGCTATATGCTGAGAAGCCAGATCTAAATATGAAACACTATAGGTTTCCTCTCTTTTTGCAGTCTTTTGTAGGAGGCTAAAATGACACCATCATACAGTTACCTAAAAGACTTGACAGGTATTGATTTAAAGCACGATATATCAAGTGGTATTGTAAAAAGGATTTCATGGTCATAAATTTTAATGTCTTCCAATTTTGCACTCTCTCAGTAACTTGTCAATAACAACAATTCTGTTTAAAATATTTGCTTCATTCCTGCATGGCATTACATCTGTTATACAGTTATTTGGATACATAATCTGTGACAAAAAGCAACTGAGTGCTATAAATCAACAGTTAGATTATATTCCTTGTAAATTGTTCTGTAGTGGTTTAATGATAAAAAGTATATTTTACTGCTACAGATGTCTTTATCAAAAGCAAATCTTTTTACAGAAATGTTTTACACTTTAAAAAATCATATATACGTTTTTATTTTTGTTATCTAGACTGACTTTAAATATAATTTTAAATATATTCTATATTTTTCCCAGAAATTTAAGGTCCTTAGATTTTGCAGGAATTATTTGTTCACCCTTCAATTTTAGAATTACTAGTTTAGCTAGGGAGAATTTGTTGTATTACAAATAAGGAATATCATAATCTTATTAATGGTGACATTTGATTAAATTGACTAAAAAAACCCTTTGATTAGACCTACTGTAAAGCACATTAGTTAAGAAATGTCTCCATGTAATTTCTTTCAAAAACCATAGTTCTTACTGAGTTTTAAGCTTTTACCTATTTTTAAACTATTTTTTAAATAGTTATGACATTGAAATTTCAAACTGAATATTTGGATACCTGTAAGATCATGAACTAAGGGTTTTTTAATAGGAAATAAAATTGAGCTATTTATAGCTTTTTGGCAAAGAAACATAGCAATGCTAAAAAATTGCTCTTTCTTTGCTCATTAAATTAAGTAGATTGTGCTGCTGCATCCCCAGCTTTTATTTGCACTCCGGGTTATCACTGAGACCCGCTGCAGTCTGATAAAAGTGTTCCCAGTTTTTTTGCAGTGGTAATTTCATTTAAAATAGGTGCATCCCTGCGGTCATGTGTGAGACTTCCTAGACCAAGTGACGAGCTGACTTCTAACGTACGGCTGGCTTAATGTCAGTGAGAACATGGGAGCAGCCTCTGTGCACAGGAAACCTCCTTAGGTCCTGACGCTTCAGACTTCTCCTCGCGTGCAAAAATCTCGCTCCCGCGAGAGGCTGCAGCGTGCGGCAGGACGGCACAGCCGTGGGACCCTCGGTGCGCAGGGGACTGCTCACTTGATGGCAGGTTTGCAGGATCAGGCTCATCCCTCTAACTAGTTTTATGATCTGCACGGAGGAGAGTCATTTATTCTGCGGGAAACTGGGAATTACGGTAGCCTCTCTTTATTAAAACACTTTGAAACCACAGTGCAGAAATCACACCCGTCTGTGAAAATTCCCTTAGAAAAGAACTAATAATGTCAATGTTACACTTTTAAAACTGTCAAACAAATTAGATATGTATTTGGTTTAAGGTAGCTAAATACGATAACAGATTGAAACAGATTATGTGGCTGTCTATTCACATTTGAAAATCTCTAGTAAAAAAAGGCAACGTCTATTTTTGTTTTCTTAACGTCTGTTTATACAAGAAAGGCTAAAAAAAAAGTGCTTCATAAAACCTCAGGGCACCACTGGTCGTTGTTTAATATACTGGTGGATAAATAAATATTGCAACCTACCTGCAACTGCTAACTATTGCAACAACAATTTAAACAACATTGAGCATTTTATGATGCTAAGCCCATACTGAGAATTTAGGGCATGATCCTTAGGTGACTGGTAACTTTTCAGTCCTACAAATCTCATGCAATCTTCTTCAGATCTCATTTTCTGAATGTATTTTGATATAACTTATTTAAGAGTGGCCGGAGCTGTTATTTAAATAGCTAAATTCAGAGATACGTTATACTTAAGTGTTATTGACTGACCCAGACAAACAATTGCATCTGAAATGACTGAGAGAAGATGTATGGATTGAAATGGGGAGGGAGAGGAAAGAATCGTGGGCTCTTTCAAAGATACTGAATGCAAGCATAACTCAAGATATTTTTATTCTTAAAAAAATCTGGCAAAAAGCTATCTGCCTGTTGTCCAGTTTAAAAAATAAAAGAAACCAAGTGAAATAATTAGTTAAAGAGCAAGAAAGTCTGTGAGGCATATGAGAGCCTCAAGTGGTTGGAACATTTTGCTTGAACATCTGTTTGTCGATGCATGATTCTGGTGTTATTAATCTTCCTTGTAGGTAAGCAGGTGATTCACCCCAACCAAATTGCTGTTGTCCAGGAACAGTTCTCTCCGAGCCCTGAAAAAATAAAGTGGGCACAAGAACTGATTTCTGCTTTTGAAGAACATCAGCGATTAGGCAAGGTAAATATTTTGTTAATATGCCATAGTGGAAACCAAATTTCAGTAATATTTAAGATTTAGAAAGACTGGTGATGGCTTTTTGCATTTATCTTATGTGCTGTAACTGAGAGTAGTGCTTGTGAAATCTGTGTCTTGATAGAGTGTATTTTATTATAAATGTGTCACTTCCCAATGGATTTACAATTAGACTGGCTATCTTTTTCTCTCCCCCCCCCATCCCCCCCCCCCATCCTGTTTTAACTTTAATTCTTTGGTTACATAACCTTTTGAGAACCTGCATATATCTACAGCATCAGTGAATTAAAACTGCTCTTCCATTACGCCACAGAGTCACGGTGCTACTCTGATAGGAAAATATTTGCAATCAAAAGGCAGGTAGCCTGGCAGACGACACAGGCTGCTTGTGCAGACATCATTTACGGAAAGAAATAAACAGGTTAGGAAGTCTTGGTTTTCTAAAAAATCTCTGTGTTGGTAAACCTGTTTCACTTTTAGGGGTTTGATCCTGCAAACATCACTAGTAGCGAGTGAATTTACTTTTGAGCAGAACTGCTTGCAGATTGTGGTTCTTAATCATTAAAAATGGAAATGTTTTATGTGCATTTGTACCAATTGCTGGACCTGAAATTTGGATAGAGGAGAAAGCAAATTAACACTAGAATATGATTGTTCCTAATTTAGTGCATCATTGAGTCTCACGTTTCCTGCTCTGTGGGTTTCTGCTATGTAAATATTGCGGTGGTGATGCACAATCTGTCTCCACTTTGTGCCAGTAATACTTAAATTAGGGGTCGCCTGAAGGAAGATTTTATGCTAGTTGCGGCATTGTCAGTTAATTATCTTAAAGGTTATTTGCTATAATCCAGTTTGCCTCTTTTTGAAAGAAAAAAAAGTTGCATCTAAATATGTTTATCTTCATTGCAGCCAAGCCTGAGCTAGTTAAAAAGTGAAGTCCCGATGTCAGAACGGGGAGTGCAGATGAACAGGAACGGTTCGCGTGTGCTTGTGTGGCATTCAAGTGGGATACAAATTTCTTCAGTAGTGAGGTTCACCTATAAGATTGTGCATAGGGTCTCACTTTCTCCGGTGGTGTATAAAGGGGTTTTGTACATTTCTTTTCTTACTGGTGGGTAAGAATAGGTTGGGGCGTGTGCCTTCCCTGTTCCCCTGCATTTCTGATACTGCAGATGTTGTGCATTAGAAATGCTAAAAAGGTCAAAGCAGAACTTATGCTTTCATCTCAGGGCAAAAGGTATTTGCTATTGCTCTGCCGTTCTCTTTGCTAGGCTATCACATCCCTCCTGTGGTACCTGGGTGTTTCCAATACGTCCGTGACTATAATATTTGGGTGCTGTCCTGAGTAGTTATTTCAGGGTCACTATTAGGATGCTGTATGCCTGTATCTCTTTCTTCTCTTCCCTCAATTTTGAAATGTAGCTGCCTTCATGCAACTGATTTAGAAATGGAAAATGTATGACTGGTTTTGCCCATTACTCTGATTTACAAAGCTTGGCTCTCTTACAAAAGGCATCGTTATAAATACACTGCTGGTGCAAATGAGTAGGCAGGTAGATGCAGAAAGAAAAAAGTCAAACGATATACTCAGCCGAACATTGTTTATGATTATGATGTGTATAATACTGTTCATTCAGCTGAATTTAGTGTCAGAAACTCATCTAAGGAATACCCCTGTCATATGAACAATCGATGAGGAGACTGGACTAAGTTTAGCTCTCGTCTCAGTATCGCACAATCATGAAGCCAGAAATGTTTAATATTGAAGAATTCTGTATTAGGCAAGCATTAGTCTTTGAATTTCTTTTGAAGCTGTTATTTTACTGACATAATGCTGGTTTCTTGCTTCTATTAGCCATTCAGAGGGGTTTTGTTTGGGTTTGGGGGATTATTTTTTTTTAAATAAATGCTTTTAAAACAGGTTATAACCTTCTATAATCAGCTGCAAGAACAGATTTGCTGAAGGCTTGTGGTTTGGGCTGTTTTTTTTACCAAACAGGTTGCATGCTTCATATATTTGTGCATGTAGCCGTCTATCAACAAAAAAGGACTGGCAGGTTAGTATGTGGACTTCTGGATCATGTATCACTGCTGTATTGCCAGGCTTCATAACAAAATTGGAAAAATAGTTTTCCGTGTAGTGCTGCAAACTTCTTAACCGAGTTTGCAGTTTGGTATTATAAATGTGTCAGTAATAAGAGCTTGGATGGTCTGATTGCTTAATTTTTTTCCAAAGCAAACATATCTCACTGAGGGATCCTATTGCTCTGCGTCCTAGCGACATGCTAAAATGTAAGTAATAACTCTTCCCCTACCACCTCCTGACAAATACTCCACACAGCGGTTTTAGTAATCCTCATGTCCTAATGAAACACCTCTTCTGTTTTCCTTTTCCTTTTATTATATTAAAGTGTTCATGTCAGTAAGACTAAAAATATAGCTGTGGATAATATGGTTGAGACTTGCATGGTTTTGCCATGTTATTAATCAAAGTTGAAAGCCTGGAAAAAATAAATGTGAGGGATTTGTGTGGCTGTTTGTGTGGTAGATAAGTTACTGGTCTGCAGTCTTCAGGATCATAGTTTCTATTAATTTGGTTTAAAATTTGATGCCCTTAGTCAACAATACTTTAATTTAAAGTACAGTAATAAGCTTTTATAATCTATTTCAATTTGAGAGCTACAATTGCCATAATAATCTTTCTTTGAGAGAGGGCTGAACCAGGCAACTTCATCCTGGAGGCTGAAATGCTTTGACATAGTAGCCCTTAAATGTGCGTACTGAGGTCAGGAAAAATTAGGATCTCGGATGAGCACTGCAGAATTGGAGATGCTGTGGCAGTGTCCAAACAGAAGGAAATTAGAGAGCTAACCAGCTGGCCAAAAGTATTTGGGCTTACCTTACCAAGAGAGTCCTGTTTGAGGGGTTGTTTTGGTTTGGCTTCTAGGTTGTTTTGGTTGTGGATTTGGGTTTTTTTCTTTTTTGCATTTCTAATCTGACTGAAAAATAGCATATCTAGGAAATAAATAGAAATGTTGTATTTTGGACAACTGGAAGACAAATGTTGAAAAAGTACATTTTGTGTTTTATGCAATTATTTTATTAAATGCTCTATTTTTGTCTAGAAATTTGAGCTCTAAAAATGAAAATTGCTTAAAAAGAAAAGTATTATTTCTGTATCATTTCAATATTTTTCCAGTAGAATTGCATTACTAGGGGATATTTCAAAATTTAAAAGTTCATCTTAAAGAAAGCAGGCGTAACTCTTGGGAAAGTCTAAATAACAGAGTGTATTCATAAATTAAAATGAAGGGTAATAAACATCATTCTGGTAGTCTAAAGGACAGTTTCTGTTCTAAATTTCTGAAGTATTTGTACCACATTAAACAGGGAAGTGATCTTATAAATCCAGATTAACTGAGTCCAAGAGGGTAGAGTTAGTGGGAGAAATTACTAGCTTATTTCAAGAAGAAGACCTGACTTCTAACAGTGAAGGTACAATAGTCTTTACTATGTAAGTGACTCCTGCATTTACATTACCAATACACTGCATACATACATAGTTACTCTTTATATATGACAAGAAAGTAAGATATTGAAAATACGGTTTTGAGACATTCAACTTGCAAATACATCAGGCACAATATCATTATCATAATGGGATCCTCCTGAATCATCTGTTTTTAAATAAAATTCAGACAGAAAGAAAAGTAGAAGAGTAAAGAGGTTGCTTACACATTTACCTTATCTACTAATTTATAAATTCTTTCAAACCACCCGCACATTAAACCAGGGAATAGCTAAATGCTGCCACCAAAGTCGCCTGTCAGGTAAGGATTATTTAGAGTTAGGGTGAGTAATTCACAAACCCAAGCTGTAATATGGGTTGAATATTTTAGATCCCACAGGGCAAAACAGAAGACATATCTGTACATGCCACATATGAATGCACAGAGTGCTGCTAAAAAGAACTTTAGCATATGTTTCTTGCATTATATTCTGTGCCATTGTATATCATGTTCCCAGCGGCTGAGGAATAATATATATGAACTCCAGCAATTTGACAAACTATACAGTTTCTTTTACGGACCTTTCTAGGATTATGAAAAATCTTAGGAATGCACTTATTTACACAGCATCTACCCAACAAAGGAATGGAAATTTCCAGCAGTGGCTCCCTTATAATGCTCTTTGTTTAGGAAAAGCTACCCCAAGCCACTGTATCTTGGAGACGATGCGCCCTCATGCTTGGGCCAGATCCAGCTCCCACCACCACCCGGGGAGGTCACTCCCCGCTGCCCTCCCTCTCCTGGCAGTGTCACAGCCCCCAGGATGGCTCTCTGTGTATGGGCCCAGCCACGAGGGATTCATCCTGCCCCAGTCCAGTCTATAGGTGCTGGGAGAGCAGGACCGTGCCCTGGAGGTGGCAGGCTACTTTGGGCTCCCTCCTGGGAGGGATGTGCTGGAGCATCCCTCTGGCATGGGGCAGTGTGGGACCCCATCAACCCACAGGGATTATATCACACTTTATAGGGCATTATATCTCAGGGCTTTACGCGGAGCTGGGGGTGAGGAGCAGCCCAGCTCCCCGCTCCCCTCGCCCAGAACAGACTGCAGGCAGAACTTTGAGGTGCCACCAACTAAGCTGGATCCCATCCCAGGGCAACGCCAGTGGCACAGGGTACCTCTGTGCACGCTGGGCTGCAGCCCCATCAGCTCTCGCTCTGAGGATACAGGGCGTTTGCTGTTGTTTATGTTAATTAGGCAATGTATATTGCTCATGCTACAGAGTGGGGGATTCAGGGATTTGTGATAGATTGCTACCTTTTGTGAGCTTCAGCCTTAAGAAGTGCATGCTCAGGTACATCTCTATGCAAAGATGAAGAGCGCTTGGTGGGATTTAAGCATGGGACACTGTTATGTTCAATATCTTTTTAAAAAATGGACAAGTGAAATTATAATGTGAAAATTGATGAATAAATAGA